TTGTAACCCGCCCCAATTGCAGAGCAGAGGGGCGGGCTAGAAATAAAATTTATTATTATATTATTATTATTATGTGGAGCACGTCTGTCTGTGAATCTCTGTGCTCTATCTGGAAGGGGAGAGGAGTTTCTCCAGCTGACAAGCAGCCTGCTTCATCGGAGAAGTCTGGATCCTGGTCATGCACACATACACGTATTAGGTTATTTAACACAAGTATTTACAAGGGCTAGGGACTGCTAAGAAAGGCTTCACTCATATATAGTTACCATAGCATGGTGCTCCTTTCATGATGGAGATTTTTCTCAGTTGCTCAGCAGAATAGTGTTGAGAGGGGCAGCATGAGGGAGGCTAGCAAAGAATTTCAGAGAGACATGAACGTCCTTAAATAGCCAAAAACTGGCTTCAGGTGAAGCTTGTTTAGTTCACTTTCTTAATTTACATAGCAAAGAGAAGGCAGTTCTCAAAGATGGGAAATTGTTCTTTCCTAGTTGTGCCAGGCTAGCGGTTCCATAAATTACTTTGTCTTATCTGGCTAGCAGAGGTGTTAATCTTTCCTGCTATCAACTTCCAAACTAGGATCTTTTTGATCTTTGTATCAAAGCACTGTGGAGGTAGGGTCTCTGCTAAGGGTCCTGGGTGCATGGCTGCCAATCCAGTCTATTTTTACGTCCAAGAGGAAACATACACATGCAGAAATCATGGCAAAATCATAGCCATTTTAGCACCAGTTCTCATAACACCCTACTATTTCAGTCTTTCTATACAAGACCTATAGCAGTTTGATACCACTTTAACAATCGTGGTGCAATCTTACAGAACCCTGGGATTTGTAGCCTAGAATTCTCTGCTAGAAAACTGCAATGTGTGCCCATGAACTACAGCAGAGAATTCTAAGTACCTCACTGCACTATAAATCCTATTCCATATGATACATTACTACTTCTGCCTTTATTCTACAAGTGATATTGGATTATTAAACCAAATCTTTAATTTTGCCAATAGTGGACCTAGCCTAGCTAGAACTGAATAGCCTAAATAGATTGGTGGCCTGTCTCCTTTGCATTTTCCTTGTGGCAAGTTAGTTTTCTGGTAGCTGGGCATAAGTGGCAATTAGTTATACACCTCATCTATTAGCAGTGATAGGACAAGTGATCTTTCTAATCCCCTTTCATCCTACTATTAATTCTGCAAGAATATCTGCATGAAGTTATGTCAGCATGTTCATAAATCACATCAGGAAGAAATCAATTAATACCAATACCAAGTAAAACTAGATTTCTACAGCTGTTAAATTATACCCCAGTTTCTTCTGTGTAATTGAAAGCAAGGAAAGCAAGGAGTTGAGATGTGCTCTTGTTGAATAACCTGATTTTAATCATTAACCAACATCTTCCTATTTACACACATGGAGAGAGAAGAAGAAGAAGAAGAAGAAGAAGAAATAGGGAGAAAGCTATTGGGACATGTCATGCTTTAATCACATGGAAATGTTTAAGTGATCTAGAAAAAAATATCTGAAAAGCCATCACTTTCAAATAATAAAATTGGTAAATGACTGAAATCTAGTCTTCAGGTTTCCAATGTGGTGCTCTGGGTGCAAAGACATCCATGAAGACTTTCTGCACTACATGCTGAGCTTCTGCTATCTTCCCTCTTCCCCCACTGACTCTCTAAAATGAAAAGTGAGTGGTTTTGGCCTTGAAAAAACATTGCAATCGGATGTGAAAAAGCAAGTGAGCTCTTTCATTGCCTTTAGGTGCTTTTCCGGAGTGAGATAAGACTTCAGCTAACAATGGCTGTTGTCGTTGTTGTTTGTTCTCAGTTTGGCTTCAGTCTATAGCAATCCTCTGAATGAGAGACCTCCAAGAGCCCTGATCATCAGCTGCCTTGCTCAAGTCTTGCAAACTCAGGACTGTGACTTCTTTTATTGGATCAATCTACCTGTGCTACGGTCTTCCTATTTTCCTGCTACCTTCAGCTTTACTGGGCATTGTGTGGGAGAGAGGAAGAGGAGGAAGGCAGACCCATGGCAGGTGTGTGAGGGAGAGGAAGAGGAAGAGGAGGAAGGCAGGCCCACAGCAGGTGCACAGAAGAGAGGAAATGGAGGAAGAGGAGGAAGGCAGACCCATGGCAGGTGCACATGGGAGAGAAAGCGAAGGAAAAGAGGAGGAGGAAGAACGGAGGCGGAGGTATGCTCCAAATGGGATCAACTTTGAGTTCCCATTGGCAGCTCCCTCAAAAAACTCGGTTCTTTTGAAAAGAACCACAGAAATTCCAGTTTCCAAAAAACCCAGCCCCCCCCCCAATTCGAGTTGGAAAAACCTGATGCAAGTGTGAACAACTCAATTTTAAACCGGTTTGCAAACCAGTTTATAACATAGTGTGAATGACCTCTCAGTCTGGGAAATGCCCAGACTGGGTCTACCTTCCTCCTCTTCTTCCTGTTCCTCTCCCCTGTGCACCTACCGTGGGTCTTTCTTTCTCCTCTTCCTCCTTTTCCTCTTCCTCTTCCTCCTCTCCCTCGCACATCTGCCATAGATCTGCCTTCCTCCGCTTTCTCTCCCCTGTGCACCTGCTGTAAGTCTTCCTTCCTCTTCTTTCTCCTCTTCCTCCCTCCCTCTTGCCAGGATCGATCTCTCTGTGGCATTTTATCCTGTTCTAATATACTGGGAGAAATAAAGTTCTCCCAGTATATTAGATGTTCTTATAAGCCTCCTGCTTTGTTTGATTTTATCCTGTTCCCAAGTGTGAACAGGAATTGGGATAAAATCCAACTGAGAGATTTGATCATGGCAAATTTATGGAAATAACCTGGTTTTCACATTGGGTTATTTCCTAGTGTGAATGGGGTCTGAATCTAGTAACCCAGCAGAAGGAACATTGACTGCCTCCCTGTCCAGTATTAAA